TTAAATATTATAAAACAAATTATATAATTAGCTTTTTTTAATATTCAAATCAGATAATTTGTGTCTTAAAGTAAAACATTTGGACAGATGAAAAAAACATTTTGGTTCTTTTATTACATCAGAGCTCCGCACGCATTGCACATTACGTCCAATTTTTATTTGCTCGTTTTTTGTGAGTAAAAATATATTTAGAGAAACACATTCTTAAGAAAATTTGACAAATATGTTATGTAATGTATAATTACAAAAAAGATTTTAAATTAAACGATTCCAGCTTCGGTTCAAAAATAAAATTATTACATGTATAATATATAATATTGTAGAATATTATAGATACCTAGTATCGATAAAAAATAAACAGAATATACATAGATCTATTGAAGGAAACTATTCTTAATATAAAGTAGAGCGTATATTATAATATATAAACTTAATGTTACAAAAAATATAAAAATTTTAAGTACGTTAACATCATAAAGTTAGATATAACTCCCCATACAACATAAAAACCAATGTTAGCTTGCAATAATATTGCTGCAACATTGCAGAATTATTGCAGCAATGTTATTGCATGTTTCTGTGCTGTATGGGTCATAACGTCTAAAAAAAATGTATGCGTATGCGTCTTGTATCCTCTAGTATCGATAAAAAATAAACAGAATGTACATCTATTGAAGGAAACTATTCTTAATATAAAGTAGAGCGTATATTATAATATATAAACTTAATGTTACAAAAAATGTAAAAATTTTAAGTACGTTAACATCATAAAGTTAGATATAATTCCCCATACAACATAAAAGCCAATGTTAGCTTGCAGTAATATTGCTGCAGAATTATTGCAGCAATGTTATTGCATGCTTCTGTGCTATATGGGTCTAAAAAAAATGTATGCATATGCGTCTTGTTTTAATCATGATGTATTTCCTTAAGAATCATATCTTGTATATCTGCCGGGCTAAATATTCGTAAATTGTTTGACTTATATGCAATTATGCATTCATCTACACTAGGTATTGTTTGTTTACTAATATACCTAGTAAAAATTTTTTTAACTTCCTCTATAATTGTATTATCCACATTGCATTTCATAGACAATTTTTCATTTTTTCTAATTTGATTATATATCCAAGTTTTGATAACTGCTGCACTACGCATACGCATACATTTATTTTGTGATCTAAATTGCTCTATACGAATTAATGAGGGTAATTTTTTTGTAACAAAGCATTCTTGGAAATTATTGTATATTAACGTTTTTTCTTCTTTGTTCCAACGAATTCTCTTTGTTCCTCCAAATGGTGATGCTAAAAATATTGTATATAAAATTATTTAAATAGACCCACACAAAGTTATATAAAATTATTATATTAAAGTTATATTAATTATTATATAAAAGTTATATTAAATAATTTTAATAATAAAAATTTTTATTGTTTACCTATTACATTATTTATGACAATAATAATTATTACAAATATCTTTATTAATTAAAGCTCCTGCGTAACCGAGGTACGTATTGATTGACCACAGTACGATTGGACACAATAATATTACTCAAATTCATCTGAACCTTAATTAAATAAACAATTTCGTTGGCTGTAACCAATCGTCCTGTGTTCAGTAGAGTCCTTCTCAGTAGTTTTGTTAGCTGTCCTTGTTTCATGACGTCTAAAGTAATAAATTGCATGCATAAAATTCTTGCGCTATATGTCGAAATAAAAAGATATATCTATAAAATTATGTGAACGACTCAGCGAATTTATAAAATGTTTCGAACACTCTACTTTTACTGTCGCTACAAATAAATAGCTGTAAAATTAATGTGACATGCAACTTATATATGTATAGGTTTTAATATATATTTTCTCATCATTTATTAAGTGAACTCTACAGCAATTTATTGATTGTCACGATGAAAGAAGTATTCTCTCTCTCTCTCTCTCTCTCTCTCTCTCTCTCTCTCTCTCTCTCTCTCTCTCTCT